ATGGCATGGGTCCTTTCAAAGATTTATTTTTATTTTTTAAATTATGTGCATGTGTGCATGTCTACATAGATTTATGGATATGAGTGCAAGTGCCCGTGGAGGACAGAAGAGGGGGTCAGGTCCCCTGGAATTGGGGTTACAGTGCTAGGAACCAAACCTCTAGAAAAGCATCCCCATGCTCTTACATGCAGAGCCATCTTTCCAGTCTCACAGAGACTATTTTAACGCCAAGAAACATGGTTTTCAAAGGAGATATCCTTTTACAAAAGTGACCTCTCTTTTAAGTCAGTTGTTTCAAAAGCATTTTCTCATTTATGCTTTCTGTATCTGGAGTACCCACCTTCCGGCCCTTGTAGTCACAAGTGTGCTCATTGTGACTTACTGTGTGTGTGAGCTGGAAGCAGCTGTGGTTAGGACTAGATGTCTTTAAGCCTCTTCCTCTTCCACCTCAGTGAGTGTATAGGTACACACACACACACACACACACACACACACACACACACACACACACACACAGAGAGAGAGAGAGAGAGAGAGAGAGAGAGAGAGAGAGAGAGAGAGAGAGAATGCTTTTCTGCTGCTTGCCTTTTTTTATGCCTGAGTACCTTGCTGACAAGTGCTAATAACAAAATACCCAGAGAGAGAGAGTCCAGTTGAAGTTGGCACACATTAAACATTCCGGACTTGTCCCTTTGCTCAGAGATTGTGCATAATTAATAATTAAACAGTTTCGGTTGTAATGGGTTGACCTCCCTGAACTGTTCATTACTCACAAGGCAAAGGCATCATTCAAACTTTTTTCCCAGTGTCCTTCGCTGTTCTCTGGTGTGCGGCCTGCCTGTGTTCAGTTGTTTAGCAGAAGGGACTTACCAGATAGTTTTGAAACCTCTGAGACTGGCAGACTGTCCCCTGCATGCCCAGAACTGCTTACTGAACTGCTTCATGGCGGCTCCTGTCATTTAGCGGCTGCCTGCTCGGTGGCTGGATCCAGGTTGTGTTCCTTAGCAGGATTCTAAAGTTGTTTTGGGATTCAAGCCTCGGATTAAAGCTTTTGGCTAAGGTTGTGCCTACTCTTGTGGTCCAGACTTTCATGCTTAGATGCTTACAGAAAACTTGTAAACAAGAAATCCCTTATGGTGACATCCAGTACCCATTTGTATTGCCCATCCCTCCCGGTTTCCACCAGCATCTCTGAGGTGGTGGTGTACCGGCTTCTTCAGTCAACATGTGTGTTTTCCAATGCAGTTCTCCCTCTTGCCTGAGCCCAGTTCACAAGAGGATGTTTTTGATATGTAGCATCTCCTTTACTGGAGTCTCTGAATCCCTCGGGATGGGTCTCAGTCCCCTCCAACCCACCCCCCATGATAGGATGCTTTCCCTTCTGGTGCACCCTAGGGAAGCCAGAACCCAAATTTTAGTGTGTGCCTGACCCCCTCCTTCCCTAAAATTGGAACAAAATAACAAAATAAGCAGATTTTTTTTTTTTTTTTTTTTTGGAAGCTGAGGACCAAACCCAGGGCCTTGGGCTTGTTAGGCAAGCACTCTACCACTGAGCTAAATCCCCAAACCCTTTATTTTCTTTAAAAAAGAAAAAAGAATGACCAGGCAATGTTGGTGCACACCTTTAATCTCAGCGTCAGCAGTCAGAGGCAGGCGAATCTCTGAGTTCATGGCCAGCCCGGTCTACATAGTAAGTTCCAGGATGGCCAGAGCTGCACAGAGAAACCCTATCTAAAAAGAAGAAGAAGAAAGGAAAAGAGGAGCTTGAAAAGATCTCTGGAGCAGCATGAATGTTCTCTTCGTGTGTTAGCAGCCTGCTTTTGTGGACTCCCAAGCTCTCTGGGGGCCACCTTTGCCTCTGCGTGTGTGGTTCCCTCCACCCACCTTCTAGCCAGCCCTCTGCTTCTCAGAACAGCCTTCCTTGAGGCAGGGAAGAGACGTGGATTTTAAAATGAAAAAGGAATATGTGGCAGCATACACATGAGATGAGACTGTCCCCCACACGTCTCCAATGAGTGATTTCTTCCAGGCCCCTCTGAGATGAGAATCTGCTCTCTGTGGCTCTCCAAATTCAACATGGGCTGCTGTTTTCAGAAGTAAAATAAATTATTCACGGCCTCCACCCGGTGTTCCACAGTTTTATAATATGAGGGACATAACAAGCTATAATATTAGGTCTTAAATAAAATTAAATATCAGTACAAGGTGCTGCGTGTCTCATCTCCCTTCTGCTGTGTGAATGTGACACCTTCATCAAGCTGCCCAGTCTCTGACTCAGAATTGACTTTTGGCATTCCACCTTGAAGCGAAGGCTATGTTAGCGTCATGTTTTATACAGGAGCTTTGTAGAAATCCAGTCCAGAAGTTTAACCATCTTGGTAAATATTCAGCCACATTGACATTAAGCTTTATTTTCCTAAATACTGCCTTTGAAAACAACTACTCAGCAGTGTTTGGTGGCACACGCCTTTAGTACCAGCACTCAGGGGGCAGAGGCAGGTGGATCTCTGTGAGTTCGAGGCCAATCAGGGCTTCAGAGTAAGAACCTGTCTTGAAAAATAATAAATAAATAAATAAATAAATAAATAAATAAATAAATAAATAAATAAAGCGAGCAACTGCCACTCAGATAGTTGGAGTACCATGCATATATCCAAGAAAGAAAAGGTCCATGCAGGGATAATTAGAGGCATTTCTTCTTAGATCAGAGTTCTTTTTTTTTTTTTTTTTTTTTCATTTTTGGCTTTTAACTACTTTCTCAATCATGGTTGTTGAAGACACTAACATGTCATTTCTGGATTTTCTTTGTCTTTTTTCTGGGACAGGGTCTCACTATGTAGCCTTGGCTGTCTGGGAGATCACTATGTAGACTAGCTTGGCCTTAAACTCAAGAGATCCATCTACCCCATGGGACTGAAAGTGTGTCCTAATCACCACGCCCAGCTAAAAATGTCATTTCTTGACCCAGTCGAGACACACACACACACACACACACACACACACACACACACACACACACACACACACACACCCCTTCCCTCAGAGCAGACCAGGTCGGAAATTGAAACCTTGTTTTGTTTTTGCTTTTCAAATCACTGGGACGTCTGTGGCCATTTTGCCGGAGTGTCATGGAGGCCGTTCTGCTAATGTGGGTCTCTTCTCTTTTGAGTAGTCCCTTCCTCCTGCTCTCTGTATTGCCTGTGAGTGATGCTTTGAACTTGATGAGCTTTTATTCACACTCCTTCCCTTTGTTTTCTTTCCTTCTGAAAGGCTTTCTCTACTGATGACAATCTCAAGTCTGGAAGTGTGGCCATCCCCTCCTCTCTTGCTTCCACTGGATGAATAAATTCAGAGGGTGTCCTTGTAAAAGCCAAGACATATCTTGTTCATCTTCTCACACACATACACACACACCTTTTTTTTTTTTTTTTTTTTTTTTTTGGCTGCCTTGGCCCCCTCAGTTCCTTTTGATTTAATTGTATTTTCCAGCAGTTTCCAAATTGTTTGAATCGGAAACAAAGCCTTAATAAGAGTTCTAGTTAATTTTCTGTCTTGTAATTACCGATCTCATTTTTCTGATAATTGGCCACAGCAATTATATGTATATTTACTAATCACGTAGGAGGCTGTGCGGTTGTGTCTCTCTGCCATTGATAATGACACACATAGTGCAGAGGTGCTTTTATCTTCTTCTCCTTTCCACTACATCAAAGCTATTTCCTCTCGTTCTCCATAATGAATACATGCATGCATTTGACACAGTTGTGTGCTAGAGAAATTGTTTGGCTCCCACCAAATGCTGCATGCTCTGAGTTCCTAGCCTGCAGCGCTGGAAGGTTGTATGTAATGATATATTGCTCATCCAAATGGCCAAAGCACTCCAAAGCACAGTGAGATTAAAATAAGTCATTCCTTTGTTAATTTAAATAGGTGCATGTATCATACTTTGCGGGGCACTTTGTGTAGGGATGTCAGGGAGGGGAAAAGGCGCCGAAAGGTATTTTTAATAGCAAATGAGAATAGATGAGAATGGAGTCATTTGCAGCTGCCTACTTTATGTGGCTCTCTTGTTCCAACTGTAGGCCTAATGAGATGACTGTTGAAGCACTCTGCAGTGTAATTTCATTACATCCTGAGCTGCCACGCTATCAACACAGCGGCGCTCTCTGTCACTCGGGGAAAACCTCCTAAATTCTTAAAGCCTTCCTCTGCGAACGAACGAACGGCACCGGCTCCTCTCCCTGGGTCACGAAGCCCAGGCAGTTTTTGCTCTGTAGTTTTCTGCTCTCTCGGAGTCGCCCGCTCGCTCCCACCCACGCTCCTGGTTTTTTCCCCCGTCCGGGTCTCGGAGGTGGTCGTTTCCCATCACGTCCCCAATTCACGGGCTTCCTGACACACCAGCCGGCCCAGGCTGGCAGAAAGGCTGAAATGCCTTCTCAGGAAACAACTCACCCTCCAAAGTGTCTGTCTTTTAAATTAAAACACACAAAAGCACGGTGCAAATGTACAGCGAGGTGCAGGCAGTTAGGAGCAGTCAGATATACAAATAAAATGTAAGTAACAGGAAGTGTAAATAAATAGCAAATCTAGGAAAAGAAACAAAGGTCAGAACAAGAATAATTTCCCAGCTCTTTGTTAATTACAAGACCATTTGTGTGTTACTTAAATAATCATTAATTTCTCATTTACACTTTCCCTACCTTCCTTCCTACCCTGTGGCTATCATTGTCCTTTCTTCACCTCCCCCTCTCCGCCCTGTGCTTCTCACCATTGTAAAATGTGTGGGGCTCGAAATTTGGCATCTCTACTTCCCTGTGTGGAGGAGGGTTCAGCCAGTCCTTTTAATTGGATGAGGCCTTCCGCCATTCCAGCTCCTCGGTGAGGTGTGGGTGGAGGGTGGAAGAGGAAAAAAGGGGGCCGGGGGGGGGGGGGGGGGGGGGACGACGACGACAAAAACTGTTGTTGTGACTTTGGGTGACTTGTTTCCTCCTCCCTCCCAGGATTCACCAGTCCTTCCGCTTGGCGAGTTCTCGGAGCCGTTTGTACATTTCATCACTCAGTGGTGAGTCCCCGTTTGCAAGCCCGCCATGCCCTCAATGTAAATGATACATGCCATTAACTCCGAGGCTCCCTGAGACCCTGTGACTCTCCCTGCTTCCTTTTGGAGACGGGAGGGGCTTCTGGGCCTTGGGCAGCTGGGGCAACAACGCCAAGAAATTGTTTAAATTATGTAAATGTTATTTACACAAGGGTTGTGGGTGAATTTCAGAGCCCCCCTCCCAACTTAGTAAACTACTGAGAAGGGGAATCCTCCAACACAGGCACTGTTGCCGTCCTCTGAATTTTCTTCCCAATATACATCATTTCATCGCCCTGTTGATGGACCTGTGAAGCTTTTTTTAATGTAACCTCGTTAGCCATAAAACTGCCTGTTCCCGCCGGGCGGTGGTGGCGCACGCCTTTAATCCCAGCACTCGGGAGGCAGAGCCAGGCGGATCTCTGTGAGTTCGAGGCCAGCCTGGACTACCAAGTGAGTTCCAGGAAAGGCGCAAAGCTACACAGAGAAACCCTGTCTCGAAAAACCAAAAAAAAAAAAAAAAAAAAAAAAAAACTGCCTGTTCCTTAGCCAAAGCAGCCGTTTATTAATTCACCTGATTCTCAGTAAATACCTTGTCCTTGGGTCTATTTTAAACACAACCCTAGGGTCACGCCTCACTGAAGTTTGATGTTAAAGATCACAGAGACCTTTGTTGAGCCCACTCCAACCCTCGAGGGACTGAGAGAAAATCCAGGATTTTGCACAAGGGGTCGTTGGAGCCTCCTAGCAAGGCCTTATCATTTTACCCTGAAGAAACAGAAGGTTTTCAACCCAGGGTTCTTTTTCAGCCCTCTGCCTTTTGCCTCCCGGCAGGACACATCTTTCTTTTATTAGCCCTTTCTCCATGTCCCCAATCTTGCTGGACTTCAGTGGGGTGGCCTCAGGGGGCCAGTTGCTCCGCTGCCCTCAGGCTCACCCCAGCATGGGGAATTACCCCAGAGAGAGGAGACAGATCGGGGACACTGGAATGGTGACCTCCAGAGCAGGAGGCAGGACACACCAAACATTCTGAAACTCCTTCATAACTCCCTGGCTTCTCTCCCTCCTTCCCCCTTCCTGCAGGGTGCACAGGCAGCCCCTGCCAGGAGAAGCCGTTGCTCTGGGACCATTCAAGGTGGTGTGGGCAGCTGTTCAGAGTCCTCGCTCAACTAGAATGGCTGTGCACTGTCCCCTCCCCCTCTCATGATCCATCTGATGGTTACACAAAAGTGAAACCAAGAAATATTCCTTAATATAAATGTCAAGCTTTATCACCTTTTTGACTGAGTGTGATATGTTACCTCTTAATGAAAATGTCTCATAGGGTTTATATTCCACCAGAAAAGAAATGAGGAAGAAAATTTCCCCCAGATCTAAAAATTGTAATTGCTTCTATTTACTTAAAATACTTATGTCATATTCTGTAGCTTCTAGAAACTATTTTTACTCCAAAAATCTTTTGTTTTCAAAGCATGCCATACTTGGGGAAAATGCTTATTAATTAAACACCAGGCTCATGAGCTCTTGAAGCTCATTAGAACTGTGCGTTAGAGCCCTGGTCCAGAAACAGATTAATCTCTTAATTTCCTACACATGCAATTCCTGAAAACACTCAGAAGTACATCATGTCCCACTAGATGCAGAAATTAGGAAACAAACTGCAGTTTCGGGCTGCCTGGAGCCCTGACTTTGGGCATCACAGAGAGAGGTTGGATTTCTGCGTGGTCTCTGTGTGGTCTGAGACCAGCTTGGAGGTGGAGTGAGCCAGGCACCCGGGGAGAACAGTGTGTGAAGCTTTACCACCCTCCCATCCAAAACATTAATTGGCTGTTATATAAAAGTTTTCTGGAGACAAGAAGGGTAACCTGTGTTAAAGTCTCCACAGATGTCAGCTGAAACAGAAGGGATCCCGGGTAATAGCCTTGTTTTCCCAAGAGATACAGCTACTTTGGAATGTCAGATTAGGACTGTTACCAACTCCACTGGCGAGACAGCTTGAATCACTCGCTAATGGATGCAGCATTTGAGAGGTGCATATGGTTATTTATAGAGAAGGCAAATGTCCTCGATGTCATTAATGGTTCATAGCTATGGTTCTTGTTTACCAAATGATCATTAATTCTCTCTATTAAAAAAAAAAAGTATTGTCAGAAAATTCACAGTCTCTCTCCTGACTTCATCTCACAAATGCTCTGAGTATAGAACAAACATGGCCACAGGTAGGCAGCTGCCCACCATCACCTCTGTACCATTTGGTCCTTCATCACATAGCTAAGTACATGCAGCTGCTACTAATTGGAGCTTCTGGAGAGAAGACAGGAAAGAGTTTGCGTGAACAATGTAATTCTTTAAAGGGCTTAACTAAACTTAACTGTCTCACAACTGTGAAATGAATTAGCACCTTGCATCTTAGCGAAAATAAATGCAAGTCAAGAAGAGGTGTAAGGAGCCATCTCTGGTCTCGTGACATCGTCTATACTTGTGACATTTATTTACAGCTCATCATTGAGCGCCAGAACCAGAGGGTTTTCTCATGTGACCTGACTGTCACCATCCAAAACAGAACTATATTGTTCCTCGAATTTAAGATTGAAATAAGTTGGCAACTGAGTCAGGAAGAAGAAAATCCACAGTGATTTCAAAAATAGAATTACAGGACTAGAGGGATGGCTCAGTGATTAAGAGCACTTGTTGCTCTTGCAGAGGATCTGGGTTTGGTTCCCAGCACCCACAGAGTAGTTCCTAACTACCTATAACTCCAATCCCAGGGTATCTGACACCTCTTCTGACCTCTGTGGGCTCCAGGCATGCATATGCTACACATACGTACATGCAGACAAACACACACATAAAATAAATAAAGCTTTTAAAAAGAGAATTACAATAACTTATCTTTACTTCAACAGTAACTTGAATAAAAGAATTCTGATTCACAATGTCCCCAGAAGTCTGACTCAAGACCAGCATAAGATCAGGAATGTGTGTTAGTGCTTTGGACAAGCATTGAGCTGATGGATTTGCTCTTGGTTATCTGTTGGCTTAGCGGCCGCACCAGCATCCGCTGATATTTTAACTACCGTCTGCACCCTTTGGCCTGCCAGCCCCAACTTAGCTCAGCCATGGCAGCCAAATGTAGGTTTTAACTAAGTCTCTATCATTCTATGTACCAATAAAGACTCGGGAGTCGGATGTTGGGGTAAAAACCTGCTAGATCAGAGAAGCCGAAAAGCAACCAGCTGACCTTCCTTTCTGGCCAGAGATCCAGCAAGAGAAGTGTCTCTCCACTCCCCCAAACAGAAAAGACCGCTGAATGTCTAAGTCCCTCCCTACTCTTTCCTGTGTGTCTCTATCCATATTCCTGGCTCCTCTGACTTCTCTGTAGCTAATTCCTGTCAACTAGTGTCTGGCTCCACCCCCTGGTCCAAGGATAACTTTATTAACACAGTCTTGGAGTTTCACACTGTGATCAAATATCCGGCAACATTTTGCAAACATTCAAATTCCAGCAGAAACAGGGGTGGAAATTAACAGCAAAAAAAAATTATAAATATGAATGAGGGTCTTTTGTCTTCCTACTGCAGCATGAGGAAACAGCCCAAAGAAAGACCAGCACCCGAGGAACTGATGGTAAGTGAAATCTTCTTAAGTGTCTTAGAGTTCTCCAGGTCAGGGTTTATGTTCAGCATTACAACAGAGCCTGGCGTGAGGGCTGGAGATGTGGTTCACTTGGTAGAGCACTTGCCCAGCATGCTCAGAGCACTGGGATCCATTGACAGCACCTAATAACCTAGCATGGTTGTGGCATTTGAGAGGTAGAAGCAAGAGGATCAGAAACTGAAGGACTATCCTTGGCTCTAAGTGAGGCTAGCCTGTGATACATAAATCTGCCCCAACCCCAGCCTCCTTAAAACCAGGACATTTAAACAATCTATAGTCAACATTACTTACTTTATTGGGTAGGGTTTTTCTTATTTTCTTTCCGTGCTGGAGACTGAACCTAGGGTCTCCTGCATACCAAGCAAGCACTCGCCTACTGACCCATATTCCCAGCCCTGGGTAGGTTTTTCTGAAGCTCAGACCCTTGAAGTTAAGTTTCACTTTTGAAAACCCCACCATTTTGAAGCTTCATGAAGAACTCTCGTCATCTGCTTCATTCAAGGGTCACAACTTAGTGCATTGGCTGTTACTGCCTTTCAGAAGTCCCAGGGCTGGTAACAGAAGACAGCAAAAGAAGTTTGTAATGCGTGGTGCGGTCCTCCGGGGAATCGTGAATGTAGTATAGGATCCTCTTGATACACGTGGAATGAAATGAGATCAGTTCACTGTGAATCTTTGGTCTTTCCTCAGAAACAGATACAGTGAGGTGGCTGGTGCTGTGTTCCCAGCTCCAAGACAAGCTTGCTTTGATTGTAAATGACAGTTTTTATTCAAGCAGGGAAAGGAACAGAGATGGTCCCTTTTCAATTCCCAAATGGTCCTTCACTTACTACCGACCGTTGATGGGTGTGAGCAGTTAGAAGGGTGCTGGGTGGAGCGTTAGTGACAGTGAGTGTGATCTGCTCTGCCTGGCCCTTGGGATGCCTCTGTCTACAGGTGACTGCAATCAGCCAACCTCGGCCTTTTCAAACAAGGTGCATTTTACTCTTTTGGCTCAGGGGGTTTTATCTTTTGGATCTTGTTCTAAGCACCCAACTTCTGTGTACTACAGTCCATCTTCACATAGGCATGTCCCTTTGATGTCACTGGCAGGTACATTTCTCTTTCATTTCACACTGGACTAGGTCTCACTTTTCTTAAAAGTGTCAAATTAAAAGTTCATTCCCAAAACCTTTGCAATTTCTAACTGTGGGTCTTGTGTCCAGACTGAAGGTAGGGTTGGGGGTTTTGTTTGGTTTGCTAGTTAAGTGGTTTGGAGGTTTTATTGTTTGTTTGTTTGGTCTCTGATGGTTTGGAAGATCTTGCAGTTAGTCACATTTGAGAAAGTCTGGAACAGGTTCAAGAAATGGAGACTCATTTACCTGGTCATTACTGTGCTATGGCTGCATAATTCAGCTATTAAACAAAGAAAAGGGGTTTCATAAAGCAGATATCTGTGGGCAAGTGCATGTTCGATGCTGCAGTGAGCTGGCCACTTATAAATAAAACATCTGCAAATCATGTGTACACCCATAAATGCTTATGGATGTATGTTGAGTAAGGAAGACCCCCCTGAGGAAGAGGATACAAGTCATAAAAATAAGGCTAACGGGTGGACACTACGCTTTTTAACCCCTTGTGTGTGCTGTTCCATCTTTTTAATTAACAAATATATATTTTAAAAAAATAATAAAGAAAAACGTAGTCACAGGCAACACCTTCCTGTACTTAATTTTCTCTTTAACAGTACTCACTATTGAGATTTGGGTGGAATTTATCCCCAGAGGTCTGGCAGAAGTGAGGCAAACCCTTGTTTGGTAGAACTTGGTGAAGAGGGAGCAAACAGTGGGGAGATGGCTGCAGTCAGTGGTCAAAGTGATGGAGACCTGCCTGTCTGCTTCTGGTTAAACACCAGACACAGGAGGGGGTCCTGGTCTGGAGCCTGAGTCACATCCTAGAGATCCCATCTTAAGGAACCCTTTCTTTACTCCTTGTAACACACTAGGACTTTAAATTTTCTGTCCTTTTTTTTTTTTATTTTGGTTTTTCGAGACAGGGTTTCTCTGTGTAGCTTTGCACCTTTGCTGGAACTCACTTGGTAGCCCAGGCTGACTCACAGAGATCCACCTGGCTCTGCCTCTCGAGTGCTGGGATTAAAGGCGTGTGCCACCACCACCCGGTGACTTTAATTTTCTCTTTACCCTCTCTGCCTGCAACTTATTTGATGGTGCTCCCATCTGAAGACAAGAGCCTCCTCTGGAATACAAGAACTATCACCCATTTGTCACTGTGGGTAGGGCCTGTGCCTTTTGAAAAAAAAAAGAGCAGTTTATCTTCCGCAAGTACAGTAACCCCAGCCAGCAGGGTGCCAAAGAGGGGTTTACTTGGGCTATGTCAGCGGCAGGACCCACATAATTGTCAGAATTTCCCTGTGGGTCAGCATCTTCCGAGTTATAGGAAGAAAATCAAAGATGAGGTACTTGAAAAGATGGTAGTTATTGATTCCCCATTTGGAAACTCTTGCGTGAACACAGGTGTGGCTGTGACTGGGAACACAGCATGGCCCTGCCTGAATAAATCTGAATGCAGGATGGGTGGTCCAGATCACCCTGGACCCAGGACCTGGCCGTGCACATAGCAGCATTCAGACTTTGTATTTAGTTGAATAACCTTACAGACCTAAGTACCAATATCAAGCCTTAAAAATCATTGTCCATGTCATTCTAAGATTAAACGTGAAACTCAAGGTTGACCAGACTGGCCTCAAACTCACACAGATCCGCTTGTCTCTGCCTCCCATGTGCTGGGATTAAAGGTGTGGGCCACCACCACCCAGCACAAGGTTAAATTCTTAAGGCCATTAAAATGCATATACATTTCAGCTAAACTCCATTCTCTGTTGTTCTTCAGATCAGATAGCTGTATGCCATAAATGGAAGTCTTATAAAGCTGGACCAAGGAGCTTTTAGAATGCTTGCATGTAAGGGACCAAAGTCCCTATACTGGGCACAGTTTTCTGGTGCACAGACCTTAAACTGCATGCAGAATGCACTCACACTGGTCATGTTGCTTCATACCTGTCACCAGTGCTCAGGAGATGGCTCGGCACTTAAGAGTGTGCACTGCTCTTATAGAGGACCCAGGTCAGTTCCCAGCCTAACATCAGGCAAGTCACAGCTGCCTGTAACTCCAGAGATGGGATCCAACACCTGCTAGCCTTTGTAGGCACCTGCACACATGTGGTGCATATAAACACACAGTGATATAGAAAGAAAGAAAGAAAGAAAGAAAGAAAGAAAGAAAGAAAGAAAGAAAGAAAGAAAGAAAGAAAGAGAGAGAAAGAAAGAAAGGAAGGAAGGAAGGAAGGAAGGAAGGAAGGAGAAGAGAGGAGAGGAGAAGAGAGGAGAGAAGAGGAAAGAAAAGAAAGAAAGAAGAAAGGGAAGGGAAGGGGGAGGGGGAAAGGGAAAGGGAAGGGAAGTAGAGAGGAAAGGAAAGGAGGTGGAGACATAACTCTTTGGTTAAGAATGCACTGGCTGCTCTTCCAGAGGACCCAGGTTCAATTGGCTGCTCTTCCAGAGGACCCAGGTTCAATTCCCAGCACCCACATGGTGGCCCACAACCATCAGTAACTCTGGTTCTAGGGGATCCAGTGCCCTTTTCTGACATCTGAGGGTACCAGGCATGCAAGTAATACATAGCCATACACTCAGGAAAAACACCCGCACACATAATTTTTTTAATTTAATAAAATAATTCTTTTTTTAAAAAAGCAAGCAGGTGCTGAGGAGATGGTGCCATAAGTAAAATGCTCACCTTGTCAGTGTGAGCATTCTGTTGTCAGTGTGAGCATTCTGTTGTCAGTGTGAGCACCCTGTCAGTGTGAGCATTCTGTTGTCAGTGTGAGCACTCTGTTGTCAGTGTGAGCACTCTGTTGTCAGTGTGAGCACTCTGTCAGTGTGAGCACTCTGTTGTCAGTGTGAGCACTCTGTTGTCAGTGTGAGCACTCTGTCAGTGTGAGCACTCTGTCAGTGTGAGCACTCTGTCAGTGTGAGCACTCTGTTGTCAGTGTGAGCACTCTTGTCAGTGTGAGCACTCTGTTGTTAGTGTGAGCACTCTGTTGTCAGTGTGAGCACTCTGTTGTCAGTGTGAGCACTCTGTTGTCAGTGTGAGCACTCTGTTGTCAGTGTGAGCACTCTGTTGTCAGTGTGAGCACTCTGTTGTCAGTGTGAGCACTCTGTTGTTAGTGTGAGCACTCTGTCAGTGTGAGCACTCTGCTAGTGTATTTGAGTTCAGATCCCTAGCACTCATGTAAAAAAAAAAGGCCAGGTATCCTGGCATGGTGGTGCCCACCTTTGATCCCCAGCACTTGAGAGGCAGAGGCAGGTGGATCTCTGTGAGTTCGAGGCCAGCCTGGTCTACAAAGCAAGTTGCAGGACAGCCAGGGCTACACAGAGAAACCCTGTCTTGGAAAAACCGACCAAACAAAGCCGAGTGTCAGGAGATAACTGGCCAGTAGCCTAGCTGAAAAGGGGAGCTTCAGAGGAGAGACACAGCTCCAAGGACTACGATGGAGAGTGACAGAGCAGGACATCTGATGGCCTTCTTGGGCACACATACACACCCCACACAAACACACCACGTACAAATGAAAAACTTAAATAAATTTTAAAAATGGAGCATGGCATGTACCTATGATTCCAGTGCTGGAAGTGGGAAACGGGAGGCTTCTGGGAAGGGCTCCCTGGCAAGCCAGTCTAGCCAATTAGTGAACTCCAGGGCGGGACCCTGCCTCAAAAAATGGACAGTTATAGAGGAGGAGGACATCCCCTGTCAGCCTCTGCCTCCACAGGTTAGGCACACTCACATACTCGTGTGCATGCAATACACCAAATAATAATACACTCGAAGTTTTCGTCATTAACATCTATATCCCTTTCTGAGATCACAGAGCCTGACAAAAAAATCAAATTCAGATATTTAAAGACCACTCT